AATAGCCTCAACTGAAATTATTTTAGGCAGGATTAGAAAAAAAATAATCTATGATACCTTCCTAGGCGTGTTCATATAAATCAGTCGAAAGGGTTTGACCTCCTGAGTCCAAAACTGTAATTAGATCTCAAATCGGCGAAGAGATGACGGAGCTATGAGCAAAAAGTTTGTACTTGAAAAAAATCAACAACAACAAAACTTGGAGCCATTTTATGAGCCACAATGCTGCGGCTAAAAATAGTTAAGACAGAGAACATTATGGACAGACAAGTGAAAAGTTAGTTTTAGTTAGATAAAGAGATGTTTGGAGAATTACAAAGGTATTTCGACTTGTTTCTTAAAATCTAAACCTTACGCTAGAATTATTTGATACTCAGTAGTCCATTACGATGTTAAAATATAGCAAAAACGCGTAATTAAACGTTCCACTACAGCTTGTATTATATAATACCAGCATTGCGACGACATTAATTTAGTAGGAACGTAATTAACCGTATTGTTTTTTCATAGCTATCATGTTTGAAAAGCCAGTGACAATCTGATCAGTTTTTATACATTGATATAAGTTCGTGCTATTGGCTAGTCACTATTTTTGTTCATTTAAACCAAATAGGAAACGAGTAATTTAAAGTAATATGACTTTTAAAAAGCCAGTATCATTGGTAAGGGTATTATCAGTAGCACCAAAAAGTAGAAACCAGTCACGCGGATCTGTTAAAGAAATATAGCCAACTTTTTAACAGTACACAATGAGTATTTAAAATCAGACTGTCTCCAACCTCAAATTACATTAACAATTCTTTTAATTAATAATTATATTGTATAGAGATAAATAATCATTTTAAAAACTGGAAACACTCCTACACTCTACATGTTTCGACATCTTACTGTTTTATCATCAGGAGTGGAGTATTTTGCATGAGTTAAGAATGATGATGATACAGAAAGATATCGAAACATGTAGAGTGTATGAGACTCTTTCTAGTCTCACAGTATTTAATCTTTAATTATTAAGTCAAATAATTTTATTGCATTTGAAGACTGGGGACCGTCTAATTTTAAATGTGTATTGTGTACTATTAAACGTTGGGTTTATTTCAACGAAAGAGAGCCGAAGGGAGTCACCTTTTCTAACCAGTCGACCAGCACAGTAGTGTGTTGTCTGTCAGTCAGACAGTAGACACTCAAATGACGTCACATAAGGGACGCTTAACGTTGCGACTTGTACTGTCGTGACGTCAGTAAAACTTTCGTATACCACAAATCACGATAATAATTATGCACTCTGTAGGCTACAACACAGCATGACATATGAACATGAAAAGTAAGAAATAAAAATACTTGTTACTCTTATTTATCTTGAAGCAGAACACTTTCGGGGACCCTGCAGAAGTTTATTTGTTTGTTTGTATGTAATTAAGCACAAAGCTACACAATAACCTATCTGTGCTCTGCCCACCACGGGTATCGAAACCAGAATTCTAGCGTTGTACGTCCGCAGACATATTGCTGTGCCATGGGGGGGGACCCCGCAGAAGTAGATCTAGTTTCTTTAATACATCTGTGTGAAAACGTACACCATCTTAATACTAGAAACCATTATAACAATTCAAATACAGACAGTTTTAAAACTTTATGATCATCGGATGAAAATCATAATTTAAAGAACAAAATATATGGATAGATAGACATATTTCTAAAGTAGGTAAGCAGATAGACAGATAAATTCATATAAACTGTTTAAAATATTCTGATGTATACAAGAAAGTAAATAACTTAATTCCACGGCCATGAATAAATCCTTGTCTATCGTATACAGTGGAGTGGATGTTTATTACACTGGAACAATACAGCTTCGGTGGATGTTTATTATCACCGAAGCTGCATTGTTCCAGTACATACGTATACGTTGTATATCATATTCTATGATCTGATGAAAACTGTTCGTAAGCGACAGACTTCTTCTTTATCTTGCCAATGACGTATGTAAACTTAGCATCGTGGACTGCATTAGGTCAATTGTCGTTTTTTTCAGTGATGTATACGATGTTAGAAGACCATTATTTAAGGACGGTTGGAATCATACAAGTTTAGATATAGTAATCGTTATACATATACTTGTGAAAGTGAGTAATGGACTTCCTTCGTTCTTCTTTATTTTATTTTTTTTCCTTTTCATAATCCGTCTCCTTCGCGTAAAATTATAGAAGCCAGAAAAAAGTAAGAGAGTACTTTTCTTCTATAAAAACACAGCTACGCTCTTGAAATGTGTACACTCTGATTTGGTGCGTGTCTTGAAAACAAGCGGTTCGTGAACTATAACATTATATAAAAATAAAATGAGGAAAATAAAAGTGCTTGAAAAAGTTCACAATGTCTTATCATGATGGTTTAGTGACAGCTACGTAGAGTTAAAGAGAGACCAGCCGCCGAAACTTTCTTCATCCTTCACTGTTCTTGAACAATAAGTAGACTTTTAAGTCTACTGATGCGACAATATTATATAGATCGCATGGTTGCTAGACCGTTATGAAACTAATTATAACTGAATAGTAGGTAACTTAGAAGTCATGTGTGAAACTTTGATTCAGATCTGCAAAAAAATAAGTAAACTAGAAAAGAGGAACGTATTTCAAAGAATGCTGTGTTTATAAAACTTTCTTCTTTCTAAACTCCTGCTTAAAAATGTTCAAAACATTTCTACTATATCACAAGATCGCGATATCTTCACACTTAAAGCAAAGCGAACAAACTCCAAGAGTGAAAAAGTTTGTAAGACTGAGTAAGAATAAAATGAGAATAAAACTCACACAATGAGCTGTTGCTAAGTTTATTTCGTCACTTCCGTTTTTATAACTGATGTATGCCTGAACGACTGTTAGACATATTTTGTTACCGTTACATCAAGACAAGTGATAGTGTGTCGTGCGGCTAAAACAACCTGTATGTTGTTAAGAGGAGTG